TTGTGTGAATGTGAGGGTGTGTATGTGGGGTGTGCTCATGATAGACATTCTTAATACTCCTTTTAAGCATATCCCTAATGATAGCTTAAACAAGACAAGGCTTAAGTGTTCGTTGTATCCGGGCTTCGCAATACAAAACTCAAGTTTTGGCATAGTTAGCATTGAATTATAAATTTGAGTAATCCTTAAATGATACTAATCCTTGGGATTGATTTGCTCCAGTTCAAAAAAAATTGTATGACTCAATACTTGGCGATTAAAAAGAGTGGCGAAAAGTTTCTTGCCCGCTCTACGCCCTTGACTTACGAACTGGTAGTAAATGTAAATTTACAATAAATTTTTTTTTTTTTTGACGTTCATAAGTGTTTACCTTTATGAATAAAGATATTTTGAGTTTGAGTTTGATGTGAGGAAACATGACACAAAAAGGAATCTTTTAAAAACAAACGTTTTAATTAACCATAGCCAACTTGAAAGTACCCGAGCATTGAACAATTTTCCAATACAGTAGAAGAAAAACGCAATCGTTAGGCTGCATCATTTCCGTGTCATTTAACGTCGGGTTTACACAAGACGGCCCCGGAATCAGTACGTTTGTCACCGCTAACTCACGTCCTTGCTCCGGCCACGAGTTATTGGAAAGAAAATTGTGCTGACTCGTCGCCGCTTTATCTCAGGTTAAAAACTAGCTCGTTATGAATCTGACAGTGTTACTTGTTAGCGCTGATTGTGTGCACTTTGCAATCTGTTACTATCACATACTATACGTGATATTTTCAGTCATTTTTAGAACTGGAGCCGCAACCAACTTTCATTTCAAAGTTGCATTGACGTGATTGATAGCGTCATATTTTAGTTGAATTTACCAAACGTATATCTAAATATAAATTCTCGTGTCTCAGTGTTCGTTTCCATACTCCTCCGTAACGGCTCGACCGATTCTGATGAAATATTTTATGCATATTCAGTCTGAGAATCGGCTACTATCTATCTTTCAAGCCCCTAAGTGATAAGGGGTTTGACACCCCTTGTGTGTCCACTTAAAAAAAAAAAAAAAAATTTTTTAGACAATTTTTTTTGTTTTTATTTTTGTATGATACAGCATACAAATATACATACAACCCCTAACTTTCACCCCTCTACGATCAAACCCATTTTTTTATTATAGTAGATAGTTATTTTTATTGAACTAAAAATATGTTTCCTAGAAATAATATACATGGCAAAACAACGTTTGCCGGGTCAGCTAGTATTTATATATGTATTGAAAAGAATATGCAAAATCATTTTTTTATTCGAGTTTTAATACTCTTTTAGCGACTTTAACAATCTGTGGCAACAATAAGTAAGATGACATCAGCCTCTGGAGCCATCAGGCTGGCCAGTCAGTGGCTAACCACTTAGGTTAGTTGAGGATTCTAACTTTAGGTAAGTGGAATTATACACCTCCCTTAAAGAACATCACTTCTCTGTTAATATCATGCAATTTTATTTTTCATTCAAATTAAACATAAAACTATTTATAAGAAATCTTAACCTCAACAAGTTCAATGAATAAAACCGCAATCTTGATTGCTCTCCGCTCAGCATTTTTAAGATATAAATTGCAAAGAAGTGGAGCTAAGGCAATAACTCTAAGGCTTGTTTGGTTTAAGTTTAAATGCTCTGATATAATCGGAGGACAAAGGCAGCGTAGTTCGTCTTACAACGCTCGAGCCACAATGGGTGCAGGGCCATTAATTATTTGGCTCTGACTCCACCCGACAAAGGAGCTTGGAGGGTAAGATGTTCACGGGTTGATCGCACATCATAAGCATGCTTTAACTATAAATCTCTATAATAATTAGTATATGCTTTGGTAACGTGCTTTGTATGAAAGAAATATTGAACATTTAAAAAAAATACAATTTCATTTGTTTGTTTACAATGTTTAAGGATGGAAAAAGGAGCAGATATATGTATACGTATCTCTTACAAACATTTTTTTCTTTTTTTTTTACCGGACAAGGAACGTTAAACCTCTGCATTTTACAACAGACGCCACAGTACCTAAGAGCCATGTAGGCGCTATTATATCCTGTACAGGTTACATTTACTGGTTTGAAAAAAACGAGCCCTCCGCTGGCTTAAGAGGTTTTGATATGATAAAAATAATCTAAACATACCCAATATAACGGCACTCATTACTTCATGATTTGTTCAAACATAAATCATTCTAGGATTATACTAATAATAATAATTTTTATTAATCAGACAAATACAGTCCATTGATTGATTAGTGAGTTAGTAACAATAGTTTCTTAAGATCTATGTTAGAGAATTTGTAAAAATAAGGAAAAAGTAGTTAAATAAAAACTATCAGGTACAAAGCCCTGCGGAGATGTCGGAGCAGTGTCGTAAATAGGGGCACTCCATTCTTTCGACTACCTATCATCCGTAAGATGTTGCTGGAGCTGCCCCGCACCCGGCGCACCAAAGAAGCGCACCGCTTTCGCATAGTGGCGAAAAAGCAATCCACCCGCGCCTCTGCAAACATTCTTGATGCACTGCAGAAGCGAGGCAGCCCCAGCAACACCCTAAATGCGTTATTATACTGCACCCGAAGCGAGTTGTATGTTTGTCGAGTAAAACTGGCCCATAGGCTGCACGTGTAGAAGTTAGTGCAATATGCTCTGAATAATGTGACTTTTACGTCATGAGAACAACGTACAAACCTACGAGCCAGCATATTTGCTCTCACCGACAACGCTCTTCGTTCTCTCTCTATATCGCCATTATCTTTGAGGTCGGGGAGTAGGACGTGCCCAAGGTATTTAAACTTACTAACTCGCTGTAAAACACAGTTGTTAATAGTAACCGTCGGCACATTTTGTAGTCTCCTCCTCCCTGACTCAAACACCATCACTTGGCTTTTCTTGGCATTATAGATAAGACCATGGGATGCAGCATATTTTTCACAAATAGCTAATAATTTTCTTAACCCGCAGACAGAAGCGCTAAGCAGCACCATGTCATCAGCATAGCTTAAATTGTTAAGGTTAACGCCATCTACGTTACAGCCAATTCTGGTGCCGGTTAACTCCTCTATCAGCTCATTTACATACAAGTTAAAAAGTATGGGAGAAGTCAACCCACCTTGCCTCAACCCACACTCCATCCTATACGGATCCGACAGGACACCCTCCCAACGCACACTATTGACCTGACTTTTGTACCAATATTTAAGAATATTTATGGTATCCTGTGGTAAATGGATTTTTTCAAGTTTTTTCCACAGCAGATCATAGGAAACAATAATACTGTAACATAGATGCCTTAAAATCGACCGTTGAGAGGTCTTTAAAGCTGATATGTCATTGCAATTACAGCCCAGACTCACGAAACAGACTAGACCCATTAGGGCAAGGCAGAAGTTTTATTGACTTTTCATAGCGACATCAAATTCATTACAGTGGTGTTTTACAACTCTACATCATCAGTACTTTATAGTTATTTAAATGAATCAGTGGCTCTACAACCTCTTTAGGTAGATTTCTGAATCTGTTTCATGATCATCAAAACCGGCATGTCTAAGAACAAAAAGACGTCATGGAGAAAGAATGCTGATCAACAACTTGCCTAGAAACATAAAATAAAAAAAGTAAAATATGTTATGGTTATGGAATATAAGATACAGGTATCACTTATTCCACGTCATTAAATTTTAATCGGTAGACATCCCTACTCATCGGCAAAGAAGACAGAGGGTGTAGGCCGAGAGAAAAAGCCGGCGTTTTAAAGTAGCAAATCATCAAACAACACTTATTTTAAAACAAATATCGCAAATTAGATAGAAGTAGCCTGTTTAGCAGTAGTCCCAGGCCCTTTTATCAACTAGATAATCGTTAAGTTTATAGTAAGCCTTTTTCTTTAATACATTTATTAAATTTATTAAAAGGCAGAGATAAAAGAGCCTCTGGGATTTTATTAAAGAATATAATCTTATACATATTATCACTAAAACGCACGCAGACATGTGTGTGAGACTTCATACATACATATTTAAAAGTACGAAATCACTAACAAAACTATTTGGCATATTTTCAAATGAAATAAAATATGAATTCTGTAAAACTCAACAATTTCGAATTTGCAAATATGGCGAAGTTTCCGCGCCTTCTATCTGGTATAATCCTTAATAGAGTTCTCCAACTTCATAACACTTTGCCTACGAAGTGAAACTATTAATTATATTTTCTTTTTGAACAAGAACAAAAAGTCGAAGTTGAAGTTGGATGAAACCGTTACAGTTGGATTAACGATTTCACGAAATGAACAGCCGAACTGCGATCGACGAAAACTTTTACGATTCTATTTAGAGTAATTACAGAAACGATTCATTTGAAATGTTTATTGAATTCCGACTACTACTAACTACTTACTTACTAATGAACGTGTATTTATAACAATACCTCGATATTTCCAAAGAAAGTAGTACATTTAGATTGATAAATTTAAAAACCAAGCTATTTAAAATAGGCATGCAAAGATCATAATAATTTAATGGTCTAGAAGAGATCGCTCGAAAGCGATTAGGCCGCCAGTTGCCCTCCTTTTCATTTAATTTTGTCAATTGTAATAAATAAAAGTTAAAAGTGGAAGTGTTAATAAATAAATAAATAAAATAAATTATCATGACATCATAATAATAGGAACAGTGAATGATAAATGTTGTCAAAACTTATGGTTTAAATACTCTCCCACACTACAAAGGCCTTAAACAATTTAATCACCTAATAATAATAATAATATTTTGATCAGAACAAATTCTTTAATACATATATGTATTTGTACATATATTATCAACTTAAAATCCTCACTAATCGAAGTGCATCGATAACTTCGTCGCACGGCTAGCGAATGTGATGTTCGTTCGAGCGGACGGCTCTCAGCAACCCCACTTCCAAAACATCGCGCCCTGGCACTCCTGGCCTCCTGATCGCCTCCAGTACTTGCGTGAGCTATTCTCCTCGAGTACTAACAACACTGGACACCAGGGCTGGAACAGCGGCTTCGACCACTGGTCGCCTGGCTTGGCTTGCCCCGGATAAACCGGGGGTCTCACCTGACGTGGCTTGACCACGAGTAGCGAGTCTGTCCACTACCACTGATAGTGACAACAGGCCCAAGTCGAGAATACTCCTTGGCTCCCTATCACCGGATTGAACACCTCCGGATACGACCCTAGGACCGAGTCGAGCGTCATCAAGGGCTAAATAGCGCACCCACGTACCGCCCTGTATTAGCAGGGCGCGTAAAAATTGCACCACCGGCCTAAACACCCCCCTCGCGAGAGAGGCTGTAACAAGATCATCGGATCCTGAAAATTACCAGTCGAACTACTAACTGGGTGACTCGAACGCCCCTGTGTCTAATATCAAGAAGTTGTATATATCATTAGCGATCGGAAAAACTTTTCTAGTGACAGATGACGTCTTGTGATATTTGAAGACACAGATTTAAAGATGTCGCTACAACGCTATAAAAAACAAGCAAAAAAAAATCTTAAACTGACAGAACAACAAGTATTTTAATGAAAATAACCAAAAATACATAATAAAACACCTTGACCATTTGGAACACACCAGTCCTCGTACATTTTCAAAACAAAATAGAATGGAACTCTTAAACTCTTGTGTTATAACTGTGTCAGTTATTTTATTTGACATATGACATGTCGAGGCAAGATTAGTTTGGTTTTGTTTTTAAATGAACCAATAATTTTCCACCAACATATTTTTTTAGCTTAAAGTCAACCCATTTATTTGCTTGATAGCTTGTTTCTTGGATATATCTAAATGACTTGTACTTTATAAAGCAAAAGTATATCCAAAATTTTTTACGGCTAATGACTGCTCCATCTTAATCCCACAAATGATTAATTAATCGCAGTTTAATTTTCTCCAGGTCCGCGAGAGTTAGCAAGTCTTGAACCTAGATGACAAAAGTTTACGCCAAATTGACTTATAAAAAATTAAAGAACGGCGACACTTAAACGTTTAAAAACCTCAGGAAAGAAATCTTGAATTCAATTTAAGAGATTTTACATTATTTTTATTTATTTACACATTTTGGATAAGAATTAACAATAGACCTAAAAATAAAGAAAATCATGGCCACGGCGTTATCGCTACTAAGCGATCACTTCCAGGCAACATACAGATTACTAAATACTACTAAATACTCTCATTTAAAAAATCTGGAAGGTTACTTTTAACTACTATTAATTAATTAAGGTTTTTTTACGAGCCATATTCGTATACAATAGCCACCCTGTTTTATCAAAAACACCTTATCTGCGTGTCTTAAAATTCGATTACAAATTAAGAAAAGGAAATTACTCGTATACCTTCTAAATATCATTTCATTTGAGTGCAAAGGTACTCATGAAATCGAGACCCCTAGTTTAATTTAAGTATTTCTAGAAAAGGATGAAATGTTTACACTCATTCTCGGCTCGCCAGTGGAAATCTATTAAAAATTGTGCGGCTTTGTAGCCAGTTCCGTGACATGTTTTAAAATCTAAGCACATTTCCCCATTTTCACGTTTTAGCATGAACTGAATAAATAAATAGAGCCATTGACGAACTGGATCGGACTTTTACTACTTTTTAAAACGTTACTTTTTATCGTTTTGTACGAGAGTTGGCGTTCAGTTAATTATCGGTTTGATTGCACCGTGCTATTTCACTTGACACGGTATTTTCCGTCTTTTTTTAATAAGTCTCTATGTAACTCATTTATTTAATGAGGTTTCTATAAATTCCAAATTTTTTTATTAAATTCGGCAAAACTTTCCGATATACAATATACATATTTGTAAAAATATGAATCTATTGTATTTCAAAACGCTTCCGTGTATTTGCGTTGCGGTAAAATAAGTGTATTGTTTCAAAGTCAGAAATAGTTTTTTTATATTTAATATTCAGAAGTCTTAATTATGATCATAAAATTCGAATTATTAATTTAATAAAATAAATACGTTATATTCTGCGTTAAACGATATTTGAAGCGCATTCTGTCAATCGCTGACAGTTATTTCAAACCACTGACAGTTATGTAAAATTAATATTATCGTATTTCTTAAATTTTCTTTTATTCGATAGCAATCCGTTCACGCGTGACGTGATATATATATATATATATTAACATTAATCTTTTTGCATAAAATAAATCATTTTCATTGAAAAGAAATTTGCCATTTCTTCTTAAGAACATCTACTAATTAATTCGTCGTCAAAAGGCATTAATCGAATGTTGAATGAACAAAGGTAAGAAATAAAAGCCGTTGATCCCTCCGAAGAAAGACAGCAAGAAGGAACTGCTAATGAACTGTCGGAGTTTAAGTTAGCGCTTTGATTGCGTAACCATTTTCTTTGTGTACATGAAGAAACTGCGAATGCAATGTTTAGCCGTTGTCAACATGCAGTATGCGCTGAATGTTCGAAACATTTGTAACAATGGGAATGCCGTGTTGTTTAAAATATACCTCGTATTATTTGCTTCTCGGACTGGCAAAAAGAATATATTCTAGATTAAATTTGCTGTGTTTGATGGCGCAATTTTTAAATTGAAACACGTTTCAATTTGTCCTAATTATCAACTTCTAGGTCGCGTGTGAGCCGTGTTTGCTTGTCGACTGCAAATCGAATTATTACTTCGGTCCGACAAGCTTCGAATGTTAATTGTTCATTCAAATAATGATTATGGGGGACTGTATTTACCGTGGGTGCGAAAACATGCCGACGACACACAATTTCGTATCTCAAATTTATATTTCACGAAAGATTCGTTAAATTGACTTTATTTTGTATTCGATGTAATTTCATTTGGACGTTTCGTTCGAATTAACTTAGACTCATCGAATTCGTGGATATTTTTGTCAGGTTAAACACGTTTTAATCTGTTATTAATAAGGCGTCATTAGGTAAAAAAGAAATAATATAAAAAATGAGGTGGCATTTAGCGGTGATGCGGTATGCACTAATTGGATTCCACCGTTCTAGTGCTTCAAATTATTTCTGAAGTCATCCTGGCACTATGACTAATGAAAAAATAATTAATTTACTCGTAATTCTAAGCTACAAATTTCTAGTTTCTAGAACTATTTAGAATTAAAAAATGTCTAATATTCGTATCGTATATACTTTTTGGCGAATATATTTTCAATGGTTATGTAATTAGAAAAGATAAAAGGATTTTAAAAGGTTTTATGTTATGTTTTAGTTTAAATTTGGCCATAAATAAGCTGTTAATAAGTAAATCACAATAAAAACATTCAGCGAAGGGCTTGTCGAATTGTAAATCTCCAACGTATTACTAATCGGCTTGATTCTCTCTCTCTATTCTTTGCGTTTTCTACAAAGTGTAATATGGTGAGTGTTCTGAAGAACTGTTTGGGTTGATCCCTCCTGCCTCGTTGCAACACCGTACGAGCCGTATCAATGCAAAATTTCATCAACATCACCTTGATGGCTGGAAGTCTTCCACGGTCCGTTTCACAAGACATTTTGCGTACTAGCGAACTGTGGAATCGACTCCCTGTGGGGGTCTTCCCTGCGAGATACGACCTCCACACTATTCAAGTTAGAGTGCACTCCTCCCTAAAAGGCCGGCAACGCATACACTAAAAATGGGTGTCCATGGGCTGCGATGATTGCCCTTTATGGACGTCCCGTGTTGTCCCCCTATTATAAAAAAACTAATACTGATTTTGACTGAGAGTAAATTATGATTATCTAATGAGCTATCACTGTACAACATTTGCTGTAATCAATTTATAAATAAGTTGCACTGTTTCTTAGAAATTTACATTTAACTATTAATCTACCATTGGCTCTGCACGATCGTACACCGATAATAGGGTTTGTACAGCTTGCCAGCCAGTGGACTATGAAATGTGCGTTTTCATATGTAATAAATGTCACAAATATCTATATAGAATATTTAGTGTATGTATTAGCAATTTGCATTAGATAGCTATATGACAGAGAAGTGGCCCTAACAGTTGCACCCTAACACATAAACAGTTAATACATAAATAAGTACGGGATGTCTGCACCAAGATACCTAAGGTAACAGACGGAGCCCTACGGGTAGGATCAGAGGTTCAAGGTGGTGGGATTTTCTCAAAGCTATCAGTAGGCTCACCACGATAATTATGGGCTTGAAGGAGGTTTCGCCACTTTGGGACGAAGCTAGAAATTAATAAGACAGAGCAATATCCAGTTTCAATATTGCCAGCACCTGGAAAAGTGTTTGAGTCTCTTATTCAGCAGAGAATTTTTTGGCATGTAAAACAGAATATACACCCAGAGCAACATGGTTTCATGCCAAAGAAATCGACCACTACGAATTTGCTTGGTTTCACTGAGGACATAGCGAAGGGAATCGACAACGGACAGGAAATCCATGCAATATACACCGACCTCAGTAAGGCTTTTGACCTCATTTGCCACGATTTACTACTGCAGAAGATCTTTTCCATGGGCATCCATGGGTCATTGTTTAGGTGGTGTGACTCGTACTTAAAAAATAGGACACAACTGGTAAAGATCAGAGGGCATGTGTCTAACGGTCAGTCTATACCTATGGGTGTACCACAAGGATCGCACTTAGGGCCTTTATTCTTTATCATTTTTGTGAATGACTTAGCATATAATTTGAAGTGCAATTTTAAAATGTACGCTGATGACTTAAAATTATACCAACATGTTCAACAGGATATTGATATTGATTTTCTGCAGGAGCAACTAAACAAAGTTAACATTTGGTGCGGGCTGAATAGAATGATTTTAAATGAAGGAAAGTGCTGCTGCATAAAATTTTCGAAAAAAAAAGAAATCTTCACCACTAACATACTGCATAAGGGGCCAGAAACTTCAAGAGGTTAAAAGCATAAGAGATTTGGGTGTTATTATGGATAGTTCACTAAGTTTTAGGGAGCATGTGGATAGTATTATAAAAAGATCCTCAAAGCTCTCTGGTTTTATCTCCAGAATAACAGGGAGTCTTACCGATCCCAGTGTCGCAGTTACTATTTTTACCAGCCTCGTTAGAAGCATATTGGAGTTCAATAGTTGTGTCTGGTCTCCAATGTATTTAACCCATTCAGCGAGGCTGGAAAGGGTGCAGAGAAAGTTTTTATACCATCTATCCTTTAGAAATAACTAGCTGTTACCCGCGACTTCGTCTGCGTAGAACTACTACTTCGTGTAAATTTGTTTGGACTGAATAGGCTCTGAAACTATAATGAAACGATTCTAATGAAGCCGGCACATTGAATTATTGAGATTAACATAGGTAGACTTTTCCTGACCCTGATCCCTGACTTAACTTAGTTTAATACGTTTTTGTATACGACATTTTTTGTTTTTCCTTCTTTGGTCAAAACATGTAGGTTTTGTGGACTCGATACTCGTGAGCACGCCACATACAGTTGCCCATGGGAGAAACAGTTTTTTTCTAAATGAACACCAGCTACTTTGAGTGTCTGTCCTTGAGCTTTGTTTATCGTCATAGCGAATGCTGCTTTCAGGGGAAATTGTACTCTTTTGAATTGGAATGGCAAATCGGTAGGGATTATTGGAATACGGGGAA